TCCACGACGCGTGTTTCGTCCTTTCGTTTGAAGAGAAAAGTACTGGGTTCCAGTCCCAGAGTGAACATCAACGCAGATGCAGGTATATCGAGTTGATGAGTTCCAAATAGGACGAAGTGACGCGCATCCTGGATTCCACTGCTCGCCACTATCCATCTTTGCTTACCATTCAAAGATAGTCAAATGAATATAAAGTAAATGTTTATCGATGGAATTATTGGAATGAAATAATCAAAATGAAATAATCGAAAATCCAGATTCCAAACCAATGGTGCACATGGGCTCCAGTATCCTGAAGGAACGAATGGCGTATGAACCAATTGTTGATCACCGACTATCATGGGACTGTATTTCCTCGCGATGCTCCACTGCCTTGTGGGTTAGACCTTTAAGTCGAAGGCTCCAGATGTGGCCCCCTAAGAAAATCACCTGTTTCGGTCTGGGCACCTGGACAGTATCACTACTTTCACGCAAATCAAATGAGATTTGTGTGGCGCATATGTATCTGGTGCTTTCTCGTACCGATATTTATGTGTTTAAATAAACAAATAATTTACATAGTGTTATTATGTGAATTAAGTATGTCAAATATATGCACGTAGATAAGAAATATGTTTTTACATGTTCACTGAAATTAGATTGGTATGCACCATAAGGATCATGTTCCAATGTTTTCAGTATAAGGGAAAAAGATATATTAATTGGACTAAGAATTCTATTAATATTTTATTCCTTATTCAGAAATCAATTTTCTAAATCAACATTAATTAACATAAATCTTTTATGTAGTTGAGATTATGAGTCGATTGAAGCTAGACCACCATGGAAAACCTGGAAGCACTAGATGGCCGTTTCGTCCTATTGTGGGACTGCTCGATTACATAAAAATAACTAAAATCTCCATAAAACCCCCTTCTAATAAAATCTTTTAGTAAATATTTGTTGTATCTTAAGATTTCTATAATCGTCAAACGTGAAAATCGAAGCTACTAAGTGCTTACAGGAATTCACGCAAACAGTAACATTCTATATATTATATATAGGGTTTGGTTATGTTTGAGTGCTTCTTAGATAGAAATATACTCTGACTGGAGAGTTTGTTCCCCACGATCTGTCTCTATAATGAATGACGATGTATTAAACGATGAGATAATATAAATTGTCTGTCTCATTTCATATATTGTACTTAAGATGGATGAATTTATTTCAGACACTTGTCTGCTCAGATAGATGATAAGATGAGAGATGCAGAAGGCCAACATCCTAACTCAAATGACTTAAAACACGATTCAACTTTTATAAGTATAAAAGATACAAAAAAGCATATTGACACATGTGTATGATCAAGATCACACATATGAATTATAAAATGACTAGAAAGATTAAAATAATTCATCGATTTAAAAGTAATGGTAAACCATATAGACACGTAAAATGATTAATTATTACACATTATAGGTTGATAGCAACTGGAAAATCATTAACCTAACAATAGTCTTTAACAATCATTTCATCCCACTTTGCCCCCAGCAATCCCACAAGCAATCAAATGTCACGACGAGCATGAATCCTTTAGATCGCTGATTTGAAAGAGTCTCTAATTTAGATGTATAACCTTGGTCAGTGATTTATAATATAGCACAAGAAATCTGAACATAAAACTGTTATTTAAGGAAATTATAAAATATAGGATTTCACATGTGAGTTTACCTATCTGGTTTTCAGCGTTCAGTAAAATTGCAAATTAAAACATTTTAGAGCATTTTCGCTTTCATTTTGTGTGCAAATGGCTGATACAAGAGCATACTTTTCATTGAGGATTTCATTTCAATCCTTTAAAACGATTCACTTATATCATCTATAAATACGCCACTGTAGTGCTCCCAAACTTGCCAAATGTAAAGCAAATAAAGCCATATCTTGAAATGAAATACTCAATGAAAATTATGTTCTTATATGCACCACTTACATTCGAAACAAAGGGAAGAATGCCTGAAAGGGCTTCATACCTCACATATATTGAATATCGAAAAACCGGATATATTTAACTTCTTCCATATATCACTTCTATAAACTGTAAAGGAGACTTTATTTAGTTTTCCATAGAATATTTCTCATTTGTTTATGTGTTTTTCGTGAAAAAATAAAAACAAACTCATAAAGCTTATAGACCTAGTTGAATAGTTTTGATTTTACAGGCTGTTGTTGGAATTTAAAATTCAAACAATCTGTCTTGATAAGCATATCTACATTGAGCTGGAAAATACATTCACTTGATGTATCCCATATAGATTTCACTGCGAGTCAAATGCAGAAAACATAGAAAACGTAATTACTCGTTTTTTTATTTATTTATCTACAGTCGAACAAATAATTTCCCATCATAATTGTGCTACTCACAGAATCGAAATCCAGTCAGTTTATTTAGGACAGCATCTAACAAGTTCTAGGTATTTGTTTTCTTAGAGACTGTGAACCGTAATGTGTAATATAGTATTCATTCTTATAATAGGTCCAATTTACAGTCTACATGTGAAAAAAACGACCGAGTGCATAAACCGCAATTAATTAAATTGAAGGCATGAATCAGTATAAGTTAGACAAACATTAAAAACCTTAAAACCCTAGACGTCCTTTTGTTACTAGTGTGAAACTTCAAAAGTGAGCATCTACGGCCCCACAACTGAGAGTCAAATCTAGGACCTTCGGCCACACAGCCAAAAGAGTAACCTTTAGACCACTATGCCGGGATCGTGTGCTCTCTAGTTATTAGTTTCAAGAGAAACTTCTTGAGTTCTAGTAAAAGACCAGTGGAATTCAGCTGCTTTATCAGCTAAAACAATGGAAGATTTTCGTACCGTACCATGGATTGATTAAAGCTAAACTGGTACACCACTAGATACTATTCCAGTGGTATTGATATTAAGCATCTCTGTGTGATACCGAAGGCACTAAAGTCTACTCCCGATTGCGGAGTTGTGGATGCCTACTGTTAAAGAGTCCTAAATAAGAGAGAGACAACCCTCTCGAACTTTCACATTTCCAATGGTTTTCTAAGTTTGTTTCATGATTTCAAAAAGCTCAACAATATTCACAACTCCATATCTTATAATTAACATAAAGACATTGATCTAGTTAATTATTTAAGTGAATCTCAAAATCTTTATATTTTGTTGACATTTTTTTTCAAAACTAATGAATTAATTACGTAACTGACATAGCAACACCTTGTATTATAAACTTAATAATAAATGAATTATATAACATTTTGAAGTTCATTTTCATAATTTGTGATATCAGAACGTTTTTCTTATCTGTCTATATTATTTAATGACTATCACTAACTTCTGAAAGAATGTAATGAAACATACCGATATTTGTAACAGTTAAAACCATATGAGAAAAAGGAAAACAGTCATATTTCTTAAATGACAAAAGTGAAACACTAAATTATTGGATCAAGTTAACTAACACACTGGCAAGTTTAAATTTTATTATTAAGACCGTTGGATGCCGGTCGGCTCAGTGGTCTATCGGTTAAGTGCTCTGGCGCAAAACTGGTAGGTCCTGGGCTCGAATCTCGCGAGTGCGGGATCGTGGATGTGCACTGCTGAGGGGTCCCATTATAGGACGAAACGGTCGTCCAGTGCTTCCAGGTTTTCGATGGTGGTCTAGTTTCAATTGACTCATGATTTCAACTACAGAAATTTTACTTATTGGGTGCAAAACTATGTATCCATTTTTCAACTACACTATTTAATCTAAAGCTGGTGATACCTTATAGCTCTTGATACTTGAAATAGGTTTAAATCTCTAATCTAGTGGCTGAAAGCTGAGTTCTCCAATAACTACATTGCCATCAATTTGTCTACCAAACACATATTCGATTCTTAGTAGTATACTTAGTTTCACATATAATTTGTGTAGATTGGGGTATTTTGCTTCGAATCACATTTTAATTGTGTGAGTCAATGATACTACCCGATTTCTAAAACCTAATTAGATGGAGAAGTGTTAAGACCTAAGACTTAATGTCTGAAAATCAAGCACACTAACCACTGAACCTCCTCTTTTTTATCGAGAAATATAAATAAATGTGGAAATATGTTTGGATACAAATTAATTTGAAAAAAAGTATTGTAATGATAGAGGTAACTAGATTTATAATCCTACTCATGGAGTTGATTTCTAAATTTTAACTGATTAGCTACCACAAAACAAAAACACTGATTAGTTGACTGATTGCTTATTGTTTGTATTTGTACAGCCAACTAAGATAATATGATGTAGGGTCGGTAATTAATCTTCCATAAAGTTTTTCGATCACGTACAAAAAAACAAAGGACTAATTCTCATACCATCGAAGACGTTTAAGATACATTGAAACAGATTCGTAACTGATAGAGTCTAACTATATAAGATATGGAACAGTCACTCTCTAACGGAATAGGATAGTGTCATGCTATATCCTGAATTGATGAAATCTGATATATTAATCTGTAGATTATGATTAGATAGTTTAAGGATAACATGTTCTCTAGGAGACCTTCTCATGTTCCCCAAAGTATTTAACCACTAATGAATAGTGTTTTACTAGTATGATGTATGCTACTGGTATCGACAGATATAAGTAGTATGTATTATCAATTGAAAGTAAAATGCCTGACGACAGAAAGTCAAGAAGATCGAAGAGAAGAGAACGAGATCAGAGAATTATTGGCGTATAAACGAAAGAACAATCAACTTTGAAACAGTTGGTTGACATTTTGCTAATGAAGTGTTTAGTATATGGTTCTCAGATTTTACTAAGAGACTGCGATTTTGTATTCAAATACATTCGGTTGTTCCCACTGGTGTTCTCGTTCACTACACCAGAACAAAAAAGCTATCGAGTACATGCTGATTTTTAATTATTGTATTCAGTGAAAACTAACCTCAACTAATTTTCATACTTTTTCCAGCCAAAAAGTACTGCCCAAAACAAATCAATTAGGACTTACTTTAAATCGAAATTGTCTCGGTCCATTATCATAATCCAATGAATGACCCACAGTAATACGTCCTGTGATAGAATCTATCTTAAAATAATTCTGTGCTAAATTACGATCACATGGACAAAATCCATACACTAGCTTTGAATGTAATCCGTCATCTTGATCGGACGCATTTAATTGTAATACAAAACTACCTATAGGTAATGTTTCACGTAAATTACCATTCAGTGGTCTATAGATTACGTAATTTGATTCGAGATTATTATTATTATTATTTGAATTCAAATGGCTATTTACTTCATATTGATTAATTGGATTATGAAATTGTGGTATATGATCATTGACATCGATTAAAGTGATTAAAAGTGGTATACTTGTACTTTTCGGAGGATTACCTAAATCACTTGCTAACAAAGTTAAATTGTAAACACCTCCTTGTCCAGCAAAATCCTTTGTTTCTCTGTCCAGAGGTAATATAGGCCAAATTTGTAATGATGTTTCATGTGTACCGGTCATAGGGTTTAAATGATTATTATTGATATTATATAAATCCAATCCTAAATCGCTTTTTCGATGAATCAGTAAATCAGTATTTGATTGACTATGATATTGATCATTATTGTCATGATTTGTTTTTCTGTTAAAATTATCTGCTAATCGAAAATAATCTGCACCTGGGCCAATTAAACGATAAACAATTGTACCGTTCTGACCCATATCTGGATCATAAGCACGATCAATTGATTTTGCATTTCTAATTGCATCATTTTCATTGATAGGTCGTAGAACTGTCTGAACAGTATTCCATCCATTGTTATTTGATGATGAGGGTGTTTCAACAAAGCTTACATGTAGAAGACTGTTTTCATGCCATCTAGGTGCATTATCATTAATATCGTGTATTATTACATGTATTAATATCCTTGTCGTTTTAACCGGTGTCTCAGCATGTTTTTCGCCAGTTCCAGTAGTCAAATGGGATGATTCCTGATTAGTTCTTGAGATAATTAATATGTTTAAAGCTTGCAAACATTCATTTGTTGGAGAATTCGGAAATTCATTTCCATTCATTAAATTTGAATTTCTTTGTGTTGCAACGATATCATTAATATTACTATTAATTCCAACAGAAGCACTAGTACCGGCATTATTATCCCATGATGAACATAAAGCTTCCCGATCAATGCGTCCACTAACAATTAATCGACCTGTATTTGGATCTAAACTGAATAAATTTGAAAATGTACCATCATTAATCAATTGAAATGTTGTTGTTTGTGTTAAACCTTTTATTTGTTCACGAGATATTAATTGTTGTAAATATTCAGCTATTCCAGGTATTATACTTCCAGTTGGACTTTCTTCTACAATGTCTACACGTAATGGAACATCATTAATACTTTGTACAATTAGAATGAAAATAATATACAATGATATAATGACTAGAATTGTCCCTTTATTCATAATTTTCTTTTTCGTATATGATAATACTTAGATTTAAATCAGTTTTTTTTTATTCAGAAAAAGTAATTTACTACAATGGTATATACATTCCCAATTACAAATAATCAAAATATTACTTTTTACTGTCTTAATTAAAGTAGTATAAACACTTATCTAAGTGACCTGCAATTTGATTGGTTGTTAACACTTCAAGAATGAATCATTGTTTCTTCATTCTGATTGGTTGAATTCAAATCATTTTAGTGTTAATGTATACTGATTGGATCAGTCATTTCTTTCAATTTTCAATAAACTGGTGAATGTTGATAAAAACAAAAGTGTGTAACACTATGAATAAGCTACACGAAAGTGTTAACCTTTGGTAACTAACACACTAACAGATTATGGTTAAAGGAGAGATAGGAATAAAACACTTTATTTAAATATATATCCATTTATTTGTAATAAATCAAACGAAAGAAGACTTGACAAAAACATCTTTTTACACATAAGATAAATCAAATATTTCATTAGAATATAACAAACTACAAATAAAGAAATGATAATATCACAAAATCTTTCACCTTTTATGTGTGAAATGCATCCCCCGAAGTGATAAGTGATAGTCTCAATTAAGACAGTCTGAATATATCTCATTAATTTTAGTGATTTAATATAATAAAGACAACCAATTGACTTGGACAACAATCGACTAAATGGGATGAGACAAAGAAAATTGATATTGTTTACAATTTTCAATAGGCCGATAGATTCATTTCCAGATCATTTTCAAAAGTGTATAACTGTGACTGATTTCAAGAGATTATGATTTATGTACACCAGTTGATAAATAAATCTCAATTGTGGTATCAAAAATATAAAATACAATAAGAGATTTGAGAACACTAAAGAGTTTTATATCTTATAGTAAGAACTAAGTTTGGATACCAATAGAATTTAGAAAGCACTGGACTGTGTTTCATGTGAGATAGTAACCCACTATCAGATTTGGAAGATAACTGTACAGTATCATAAATAGTATAGGGTTAGATATGTAGGCCATTAGATTAGGCCACTCAGTGGTCTAAAGGTTAAGAGTTCAGTTTGAGTCCTAAAGATCCTGGGTTCCAATACTGGTGAAGTAATGGATTGGGATTACTGAGGAGCTCAATACTAAGGAACAACACATATTCATTGCTTTATCGTTTCCAGTAGTGATCTAAATTATGAAATGAGTAAGATTTAGTCAAATTTATAGTCTTGACCACTAGGATTCCAGGATATGCAGTAAGCTTCCTATTTATATCATATATACTGTTTTACCTACTTAATGAACGTACACGTTCTAAAACAAAGCTAACGAGCTATTTTAAAGTCTTTGGGTGGAGTAACCAGAGTTCGCAATTCTCTCTGGAGTCAGAAAAAGGACTGAATAATTTCACTGCCATATCACTTTATCATTAAAAGGATAAAAGGTTTAGTGAGAAGCTGTTGTCGGTGAAGTCTTACTATATCATGTGTAAGGCAATTATATCGGACGATCATTGAGCGGTATTGTTAACAAATGGACGTCGAACATGTAAAGAATCGGACGCTGATTCAGCGGTTCAGATGCTGCGTTCACGGAAATCTCTTCAGACCCCTCATAGAAATAAAACTCTTACATTTAATGAATACGCCTTGGAAACAAGTCGTATATAAATTAATCTGATTTATAAAGTCAACTAACCAAATCAAAAAAAATAATCGACTAAATTTGTAGTGCTCTTCATTCTTTGTCTATTATTCAGTAAAATGTTTTCATGATTTGTTATAGTCGAAAGCACGTTTTAGTTTGTTAAAATGATGAACAGAATGTTGATCGATATATAATGCATATGATCAACTGACAAGTCCGAATGACACTGAATTATTGGAATTAACCTTTAAACGACTATACAACTTGCCAACACAATAATTTTTCTGCTAGAATGACATGCTGACATGATCTAGTTATTAATTACACTTACTGAACAACAATAGTGGTTAATTTTGGATACAATTAAACAAACCAAATTCATAAAATATTGTGGGAGGAGTGCTCTCGTGAATCATTCGTTGAAGAAGACATTTCTTTTTATAGGAATCCAGTTATTCAGAAGCTTAATACCTGAGGACTTATAAGTATTCTTTGAACAATCAGGACAGAGATGGCGCAAGTATACTCTTACAAACAGTGTATTTTGAAGGCTGAATGTTGATGCACTACAAATTTTATAAAAACAAAGCTTTCATAAGCACAGTTCGTATATTTACTGGACAAACCACGTCTTAAATTTATACGGTTAAAGGTTAATTAAATCATAATTCATGAGATTCTTCCATACACCTATAAAACTGAAACCTGACAAAAAGATTCAATTTTCGATCATCATATACAGTAGTCTCAACATTTATAATCAGAAGGAGCTTTTGTGAAGATTTAGTATTTCCATAGTTGAAAAAATAAGTCATTTGAAACTAGACCACAATGGAAAACCTGGAAGCACTAGTCGACCGTTTCGTCCTATTGTGGGACTCCTCAGAGGTGCTCATCCGCGGCGAGATTCAAACCCAGGACCTACGAAACTCGCACGCGAGCACTAAACCGACAGACCACAGAGCCGGCATCCGATGGTGTTTGTGTCTAACTTCAACCAATCCACGATGTTTGTTGCAACCGTTCAGCAATAGTCTTCAGTCAGTTGATTTCTCACAACAGACGTGGTTTGAACTCCACTGGAATTATCTGTTGAAATCAGTCACTAGTGAGCGCGAGGCGAGGTCGTCAATGCACACTGCTGAGGAGTCCAACAATAGGACGAAACGGCCATCCAGTGCTTCCAGGTTTTCCATGGTGGTCTAGCTTCAATTTACTCATGCTTTCAACATTCATAGTTAGCCTTCAATAATGCAAACAAATAATCTACAGTTATTCAGTGTTTATTATTTGTGACATATTAAAAAGGAAAACTAGTTTTTAAACTTGATTAGTTTACATTTCTAATCCAATTACTGAATAAATTAGTTTAATGATATAACCTACTAGTGTGATTATCCGTTCTAGCTTTAAAAATAAACATGGTAAACGATCTATTTTGTACTGATATATAATATAATTTCATAAATCAATTTAATACGAAAATATACTAATATTCTAATTATAATGAATCACAGTTAAGAAAAGCTTATCTGTGTATACTTATTGGGGATTTTCTATAAAATATGTTCCAAAACATACATATTCTATCCTTAATTCTTTTCGGGAAAACATTTTGAGTAATATATATATAGTATGTATTCAGTAATTTTAACATTTCCTACACCACTCATGATGTGGTGTGGGTTACTTATATCCATATAAGTAGTATATGGTGATGGTCAGGCATTGAATGTATTTTGGCAGAAGATCGATAAAGAAAGAACAGGAACGAAACGCAATCGGTATGAATATGCATGAACAATAATAATAAGAGAAAATGGATTGATATTTACAGAAGGAACAGTCAAGATTGAGACAGTTGATTGTTATTTTGCAAATTAACTGTTTACTGTATGGTTATCAGGTTTTAGTGAGATAGTTTGTAATTTGTGCTTAAGTACATTCGATTGTTCACACCCGTGTTCTTGATCACTACAATGGTTGTAAAATTTGTAAAGATGATGATGTCGATTTGTTTAATTAAAAGGAGTCTATTATATCAGTGATCAACAAGGACTGTGTTTTATTGAAGATAGCGCTGTATAAAAAAGAAAATTTTTTTGATTATATTGCATTTTTTGTTTTAATCACCTAACTGTACACTTTATATATCATCATAAGAAATATCAGTAGCAGTAATCCAATATTCAATTCTTTATAATAAGAACTGGAAGAAAGAAACAGACTCTTACAAATAAAATAGCATATCCGTTTCATTAGTTAATGGTTACCTAAACCCAATACCTCCATGGCTAACGCGTTATACCTACGAAACGAATGGTACTCGATTCGGACGTCAAAGTTAGGACTACTAGATCAAAATAAAATACACTCTAGTATTAGACACTATTTGCCTTCACTGACAGTGATAATGTTGAAAAATGAGTCTATATAACTTATCCTACTAATCAGTCCACATTTTTGAAAGTAAACTCTGTACTACGATTTCTAAATGACAGATCAGAAATTTAGATTTTATTGATAAGTTTAAGTTCACTCGACTAAGTGAATGTATTGTAGTTTATTCCTTGATTTAAGAGAATGACTAAAGTGTTATAATTTGTAAATTTAGACGTTTTATAGTTGATCGATCACTGGGTAGTGACCAATGTCATTTGCGTCAGGTCCTTTCTAACTAAGGTCGGATTCTATCGGCCAATTCGCAATATGGCCACTAGTCTAGGTAATATGACATCCCGTGAACTATGTTGAGATGTGATGCAATGGTTGGTGGTGGTCAACAGTGTTTCTTGTGTGCTACCTTGAACCATCACATTACATTTTAAAAGTTAAATTTCTCCGAGAAGATTCAGAATGTTTCTACAATGAATCTATACATTCGCTACTGAATGATCACTGAGTAGTGAACGATGTCATTGAAACCAAGTCTTTCGTACTGATGAAGTGCTTTTGATCAATTTGCAATGTGTCCACTTTTCTAAATGTCCAGATATCGCGCACACTTTTTTGAGATGTAAGGTGGTGTTACTCAGTTATCCGTCAATTTGTACTAGATCTCAGTCATCTATGGGGTCACTCGTGGCTTGAACAGCTTCATGGTTATGTTTGTGATTGTGAAACTACGTGGCACGGGATCAAATCATAAAGAGAGAGTTGAATTAAGGTTTTATCGAAGCAATACGCACACTATGCACATATACTAATAAGAGACTGACCAGTTGCAGTCCTAAACATCAATCCAAGGATTCAAGCAAACAATACTAAGTAAATTCAAACTTCACCCCTTTGCACAAACAAGTGACGATCAGGACTCAGTAGCTGAGTGGATAACGCGATGGCGTTTGAAGAGAAAGGTATTGGGTTCGAGTCCCAGATTGAACATCAACTCAGATGCAGGTACATCTAGCTGATGAATCCCAAATAGGACGAAACGCGCGTCCTGGATTCTAGTGCTAACCACTATCCATCTTTGTTTACAATTTGTATT